AAGAGGGTTTAGTAGGAGTGTCCTAGACCACGGTGCAGCCTCTGGAAGGTTCTGCAAGGCCATGGGGAGTCCTTGACCTAACGTGGGCTGTTAGAGAGGTTCTGTGTCTCCCAGGAGTAGACCTGCCTCAGTGTCCCAGCCACGCATTGCCTGTGGCTGGGACGTGCCCATGGAAAGCATAGCCTTGACACGAACACAGCAGAGGGGACCTTCTGGCACTTACGACGCCCCTATGGTGGGACAGCTACAGGCATGTTCTCACCTTGAATGTTTGCTAACTTGGGTTGGAATGAGAGTCCCTCTGAGCCTTCATGTCTCTGGCAGTGACTTCAATAGAAAATCAACAGTTCAGTGTGTGTGTGTGCACGTGTGCACCTGCCTGTGTGTCTGTGTCTGCCTCTGCGTCTCTCTGTACGTACATGTATGTGAGTGTGCCCGATATGTCTGTGTGTCTGTGCATGTGCACATGTGTGTAGAAAGCAGCGATTGCCACAACCACACCGCGGGTCCTCACCCCTCTCCGTCACTACCTTTCAGACCATCCTGGTGGGCGACAGCGGCGTGGGGAAGACATCTCTGCTCGTTCAGTTCGACCAGGGCAAGTTCATCCCAGGCTCGTTCTCGGCCACCGTGGGCATCGGGTTTACGGTAAGCACCTGCTGTTACCGCCGGCTGCCGCCCAGGCTCAGGGACCCCGGTGTCTGTCAGGGTGCAGGACACTCACATCGGCCCGTTTCCGGAGGTTTAGTGAGAAGACTGTTTCCCGAGGTGCAGACAGGGCATCGGGTAACAGGGAGGGATGCTACGGGGGTCCATTCCACCCCCGCCTTCAGGGGCGGCAGATCCCAGGACAGAGGGCTGTCGGGCTAGCAGGAGCTGTGTGTGACTTTAACGGAAGGACACAGCAGCCTATGGGAACCTCCAGCGAGGTGGCCAGGGTGACAGGTCTCTCCATCCCATCTCACCCTCCTCTTACTCCCCCATCTTCTTCCGAGGACCCTATCGGCTAAACAAAGCCGGAAGCAACAGCATTTCTTGATAGAGAATGCTCAGATCAGCCCACCAGGCCACGGAGCATCTGGAGGGACAAAGAGAGGGCAAAGGTTTAAGCACCGTCCCAATACAACAATCAGGGGCCAAGGAGCCGGCGGGAGGGAGCCGGC